TTGCTCCCTCGCTATCACAAAATTTCATCAACAAAAAAATAGGTTTTGTGATGGCTAAAATGTTCTCCACATCCTCCCAAAACTCTTCACTTCTAATAGTTTCAACAACCTTTGATCCAGTAATCCTAGTATTTTCATCTCCCTGTTTCACCCAATCTCTCCAAGAATTAAGGGAGATGGTTGTAGACAAAGCTTCTCTACAATCCATTAACCTTTTCAATAATACATAATGAGATGCAAATCTCGTCTTTGTCACCTTTAATAACTCGAGTGTTGAGTTATCTCTAAACATGGTCAAAGCATGATTGTGATTAAGAAAATATTTTACAACCACTTTTCCTCTTTTATATGTGGTCATCAACCAATAGAACGTATTTGCAAGATCTTTGAAAATCAAATTCAACGTATGCACACAACAAGGAGACCAGAAAATGTGTTTGTGTACCTTTTCTATTTCCTTCTCGGCAGCCTTGCAATTCGCAGCATTGTCTGTAACGACTTGTAGGACATTGCTTGGTCCTACTGTTTCGATGGCTCCATGCAAATAGTTTGCTATTGCAACTCCAGTTTTCTCCACACCAGAAAAGTCTTCTGCATACATGAACATCGCCCCACGACTGTTAACAGCTATGACATTAATGAGTGGCTTGTGCTTTACGTTTGTCCACCCATCAGAAACAATTGAAACACCTTGCGTATACCATGTATCTTTTATAGGATTCAAATCCTTTTCTACATCTCTATGGCATTCATCAAGTAGAACCATCCTTGCTTTCTCGCTAGAGGGAGGCTTATAACCGGCAGGTGCTTTGTTGATAGCACTAACCATCTCCAAAAATTGGGGATTACGTAGCACATTAAACGGAATTCCATTTGCGCAAAGCCCTCTCATGATCTTGAAGTCAACAACGCTTCTTTCCATTACAGCAAATGCATCTTCAATAGGTTTCTTAGAAGAAGAGGAAGATTGTTTTTTACTGATTATGGAGTTCTTTAAAGCACGAGACACACCAACCTTTTCAGCATCTCAGACTTTGTTAAACAACCTTTCACGCTTCTCACGATCATTTAGTATAACCGGAGACCTTCTAATTTCTGCGGTCTTGCCGGGCATAGCACCAAAAAAGTGTACATGTATCCTCGTATAGGAACTAGTAAACTGTTGTTTGCAATGTTTACAAACCCACTTCTTTGTACCCCCAGCATTCTTTCTTGTTGCAGCAGAAATAATGTTTACTTCCTCCAATAATGGCTTGTCATCCTTCACTTCACGAGTGTTAACTTGTTGAGTATCATCTATAAATGTTTTATCTTCAGTGCTATTTTCATCTTCATCTACTTCAATATGCTCTATGTTCTCTCTGTGATCAGACACACATTTACCAAACACCATTTTTTTCCTGTGAAGACTTACTTTTCCTTTTTTTTTTCTATTGAGAATGTGTGGTAAAAAAGAAAATCGATGCATGTATATATAAGCCTAGAGAAAATTAATTGTGTGTAAATGTGTAAACTGTAATCAATTAATACTCTAATAATGGAGTCGTTGATTCTATAATGCCGACTGAAATATCAAAATTCAAATAAATGACTTAAATTAATGAATTGAAATCGTATATTCGTGTATATGGTTTTCTCAAAGTGAATCGATATCCCTTATAAAAAAAGATATACACAATCAATTGATGGAAATTGGGAGATTTTGTTGCCAAATGCTCAGTCGATCGTTCCCAGAGCACAAACGATTATTTCAGTCGGCGTCCCATCGCTTCAATCGGCGTTCCCCCAACTTCAATCAGCGATCCCCAACTTCAATCGGCGATCTACATCGCTGTTCCGATATGCAAGAAACGCGAATTAGGGTAAGGTGGGTTCAATTTTGAAATCGCTCAATCTATCGATCCAAGACGCGTTCCCCGTGCGTTTGGAACGAAATCGTACCCCGATCCAGCACGCACGAACTAGAACAAGGATCGTATCTAGTCAAGCGATTTATGTGACTATGTACCTCACTACCCTTCTACGGAATTGGACTTTCCGCCTATTCGGTTCATTGCAATCGCAATTGCTTCATGGGTTTCACGGGATACAGCCCCGAGAGACATGCCACCTGTACAGAAACGCGTAATGATTGAAGCAGCGGATTCCACCTTTCCGACTGGAATCAGGGGTCGCTCACTTTTAAATTGAAAAAGATCCCGAATCACCTGTGGTAGGTCACAAATTGGTTTCACGGGATAATTTACCATATATATATATATATATATATATATATATATATATATATATATATATATATATATATATATATATATATATATATATATTATCATTTATTATTTAATATATTTATACTTACATGTTGTCCTTCATATTTACATTCTCATAAAGTAGGTTATTTTTTTTTAGCTTTTTCCCTAGTTGAAAATGGAAAAGTTTGATTCAAGTGACAACATGCTATGAAAATAACAATCAAAAGAAGTAACAGATGAGCCAATAATTCACTTAGAACCATGAAGAACAACACTCAAATGGAGTAACAGGGAAAGAATCCATTGAAAATCATGCTAGGCTAAGAAAAATGATAATGAAACAAGAAAATTGAGAATAATCATGCGCTTCCAGGTACTAAAAAGCCTGCAATTACAACTTCATCTGGTAATGAAGACAATGCAGCCCTGACAACTTCCTCAGGCCTTAACTTTCCAGATACAGTGAAAGATCTACAAAAAAAAAAACAAAACAAAAAAAATCATTCAAATACCCCTATTAAGCATCCTTCCACTACAATAATTATATTCTTTATTTCATGATGGAACAGACTGATTAAGAGATAAATCCAACTAATCACGCAGCTGCAAAACATTCATAAAACAAATTCTCTCAACGGATTAATTATAACACTCATTAACCTATTCCATAAAAAGAAATTGCTTAATGTTCTTGTGTGTTGATTTTTTTCCATGTAAGTGATTATTACACCCATGCAAATGATAATCCTGCTTACAAAAATATATTTTCAAACATGAAAATCTGAAATGAAACCTGGTGACGCATTTCCTCCACAATGTGTAATCATACCATGCCTCTCTCTCTATAAAGCTATAGATTGGTAATAATCATGATAAGAAACCATGGAACACGAAAACCATTACCTTCAACACGTTGCATAATGGAATCTATAATTCGATTCCTTTGATTGTGTCAAAAATTAATAGAAAAAAAAGAAATTTGGGGAAAATTGGCAGAAAAATGGTTGGTTTTAGGGGAAATAGGCAACCTGTTTCCTTAATTCGACTCTTCAATGTTCTGTTAAAGTTTGTGCACAAAGTTCATTCTCGAGTTCAAGGAATTGAGAGAGCCAATATGTAAGATTCTTTGGGATGGAGTTGTTGATAATTAGATATGAGTATTGAGGGCTATGTTTATATACAGAGAGGTCCGATAGAGTGGGGGAGTTGGAGATGGAGTAGTGTGGTGGACAGGTTGACTTTTTCATTTTTGGACTCATCATTACCATCCTGCAAGTAAAATCATGATATTTATATACACAAAAACAAAAATAAAAATAAAAACACTGATTCATCACATTTTATTTTCAGTTTCATGCACCAATTGAGAAGAACTACTTATAATCATCCTACAAGTAAAGTGGAAATCATATAGATTACTTTACATGTTTACCATATAAGCCCATAATCAGTAGTTGTCCTCATCTACTGTCATGCCCAAAAGGAGAAACTACTTTTAAGAAAAAAAAATCAACATGGATCAGATGAATCGGTGGCAATAAACTTATATATAAAATAAATGAACAAAAATCAACATGGATCAGATTAATTGGTGGCTACCAAGAGACTCGGATCCTTGATGGTTATCTTGAACATGGTCTGAACCCTAGAAATTGTTGGCCCCGACTTCACCGGAGCTCCAAAAACATCATGTCTGCTAGAAATCTTCACAGTCATTTCTTTTTCCTATTTACATGTGAGAAAGATGTGCTTTTGGCATTAAAGCAATAGCTTCTTCTACTGGGAGGTAACAAACTGGACAGCCTGCATCCATAAACAGGAAAAAACAAAGGAATCACTCATATATCCCAAGAAATCATAGAACCATAAAAACCACTAAAAAATTAAAATTTTTATTGGTGATATCAAGTACCCTTCATGCTCTAAATTTAATCAGCTCTCATAAGCTAGTTGTTCTCCAAAAGTTTTTGAACACTCAAAAATCATCTTTAGGAAGCAATCGGATGTTTAATGCTAAAAAGTAAAGAAATATGAATTACATTGAACATGAAACAAAGATCTATGTTAGCTATACCTTTCATTGTAAGAGTTTATGTATGGTAAACTTGCAAATTGATCTCTTTTTTACTGTGTTGGCTGTCAAAAACTTGTTAATTATGTTTTGCTTCATGTTGTTATGTAAGATTAAGCCTTAAATTTGATTCATAACCATCCAACTTTGGTATCTGGTATGTCAAATATAAGACTTGATTCATGAAAAAAAGGCAACTGATAGATATAATAGAAAAGAAAATATTATATGTAACATTCTTACCTGACATTCCATGACTACCAAGTCATATGGTGTAGATTGAAGATATTTCTTACCCTTCTTTACTTCAAGGAAATGCAAGTTGCTATAGCCACCACACAAATGTATCGTCTGTCTCTGATTCTTTTCATATATTTGTGTCTTTTAACTGAAAAACTTCATTCTGTAAAAAAAATTATAATTAATTTTGCAATGTTTTGGACAGTGAGCAATTTGAATTGATTTTGATTAATGGTGGATGATGAAAAAATGAAGTAGTACCATGGAAGGGGGACGGCGGCGGCTTTTGGTGTCCAAACTTACATCTGGTATCGTTCCAATTTAGGAAAGCTTGTGAAGGGTCTTCTTGAAAGATAATATTCCAAGGTATAGGGCAAAATAACAATATTACAATTACTAATGACAAGGGGAGACCTTCAAAGGATGAGATTGAGAAGATGGTTCAGGAAGCTGGGAAGTATGAATCTCGAGATGAGGAGCACAAGAAGAAGTTGGAGGTGAAGAATGCTTTGGAGAATTATACGTATAACATAAGGAACACAACGAAAGATGAGAATCTTGGTGAGAAGTTGACTCCGGTTGATAAGAAGATTGAGGATGCGATTGATGAGGCGATTGTGTGGTTAGATACGAACCACTTGGCTAAGGGAGATGAGTTTAAGGATAAGATGAAGGAGCTTTTTCCCATTTTGAAACTTTTAGGTTAGAGAGAGATAGAGGGAGATAGAGAGAGAGGAGGAGGAGAGAGAGCGAGGAGATTAAATGAAGAAATGTTGGAGGCGCTGGAGGTAGGTAAAGGCGGAGGCCCTAGGGCTTCTTGTTGCTAGCTCAAATATCAACATCGATGTTAGAAGGTGGAGGCATCAGTAGAGGGAGCAAGGTAAAAAGAGAGGATATCGAACCATTTAGTGTGAGGGTCGATTTGGAAGAAATCTCAAACCCTTAACCTTAAACATGATGTGAAGCGATCGATCCATAATCTTCTTCGTCTCCGTCAATTCCTTGGGCTCACAAAATCGGACGATGGTGGTAAATGAAGCATTCTTCGAGAAGGAAGGTGCATCGCCGCAGTTTGAGGCTAGAAGAGGCAATGAGGATTGGAGGCAGTGGATGTGGGTGAGGGGTGGAGACGAGGGAAAAGAATGTGGGGGTTTAAAAAATTCGGGGATTTCATTTTCCCTTGGAGACGCGCGTTTTTAAAAAAAAATATAAAACGACATTCACAGAGGACGCACAAGTGCCCTCCGTGTTTTTAATATTTTAAATAAGACACTAATTTAAGGGCACACATTAATGCGCGACCTAAATCCTTAAATTTTTTGAAGAGATGACATTTTTTTAATGTCACTCTCTTTTGCGTAACATAAATCAATGAGTGTCGTGGTTTGCGCGTCGTAAAAGGGTCTTTTTCTTGTAGTGACAACAATCATATTGTCGAATTTCAGTAAAAAAAATTGATGTTCGTTTATTGTATTGTCTTATGAAGGAGAAGAGTCAAGGACAATGGAGGCCGTGATTCGCCAATCAATGAGGTTGAATGCATCATACGTGCTGTCGGGGGGAAAATATATCTAGCTATTATGATGTTGAACAACGTTCCAATGAAGACACTTATCAGGTAGTTTGGTTTGTATGAAACGTCAAACAATTTACAAGACATGTTAAATATTTTGATATTTTACCATTCTATCATAATTTGTATTACAACTGAACTGAGTTGGTACGAACTTTGAATGTTTTTTATTGTATTTTGTGTTTGAAAATAGAAACTATAACAACAAACAAAAAGCAAAAAGAAAAAAGGTTTGTATAGCAACTATGGTTGTGACATATGGTCGCTATAATTGAATCTTTATTTTTAAATACTACATAGAAAAAAAAAATTAACATATACCAACTGCATTTCGTGGCTATAGGTAGCTGTTATTTATTATTATTATTTTTTGGGTAAATTACACGAATGGTCCCTGTGATTTGGGGTAATCTGCGCGTTTGGTCCCTAAATTTTTTTTTAACTCGGACGGTCCCTAGGATGTATTTTTATTGCGCGTTGGGTCCCTGATAGACCTAAAATGACTATACTACCCGTATTTTTTTATTTTCTTTTTTTTGTCTGGTTTATTTATATATGAAATAAATATTAAAATTAAAATTAAAAAATCCTAAACCTCTAATCTAATCGTACACCCTAATAAAAGAAAAGCTGCTTTCCCCTTATTCCTTCCTTCGTCCCCGTCCCTTCCTCAAATCTTGTCAGCGAATCCATAGGGCTACCGCTAGAAACAATGAAACTCCATCTTAGGCGCCCCCTCTCTGTCTTCTTCCTTTTCTCACCAGAAAACTTGACCCACGAAGCTTCATCATCTTTGCCTCTTCCCCTCGCCGATTAGAGCTCTCCATCCTTTACTCACCAGAAAAACAAGAGGCAGAAATTCATCGAAAAAACGTCGAACCAGAATCATGGGATTGCTTCATTTTGTTTCGATTTACTGCATATCTGAGTAGAAATTTTCAGAAACCTAATTTTTCACAGGAACCACAAAAGAGAAATTTGATTTCTCTGAAAGGGTGCTGGCGCTTTTCCATTTCTGAGTTACAGTAGTTATGAAAACATGACTCATATTGGGGTGGTCGAAGAAGATGGTCGGACCAGGCAGGCTCAAAAGGGCCAGCATAGTAGAGATGAAGGTTGTAGGTTTAATCATGTTGGGTTTCATCGATGATTTCAGATGGTGGTTCAAGCGAGGAAGATGATGAATCTGGAACCCTCGCTTGTTTTTTACATTCAGAATTTTCATCAGGTTTTGGTTTTCAGCATTTTGATGTTGATTTTGTTCAATTTTGATTACAAGGTAACAATTTTATTTTGGTTTGGGTTTTGATTTGGTTTGATATTCATTAGCTTCATCGTTTAAAAATTGTAGAAGCAAGCATCATTGTTGGAAGATGTCGGAGACGATGGTGGCTACAGGAGACAGTCATGGTCATGATTGTTATTAGAGACGATGATGATGAAGATGGGATTTAATCGAAGGGGATGAAGAGTTCTAATTCCAGTTTTTGGTTTTTTTTGTGCAGATTTTAACATCACTTTTTCTTACATGGGCTCCGATGTTACATATTTCTTTTGGAACTTTGGTTTCGTTCTTATTGTGGACGGTGGAGGTGACCGCAGGTTAGTGGCAGTGGTGGCCGGAGGTTGTTTTCAGATGGCTGGACATAAGGAGGGCTGGGGTGGGGGGTAGGGGGTGGGGATGAGTTTTCATTTTAATATATTTCACTGTTTAAATAAATAATAAATTAATTTAAAAAATAGATGAGGGCAAAGTAGTCTTTTTACATCTGATAGGGACCAGGCGTGCAATAAAAATATAAAATAGGGACGGTCCGAGTTAAAAAAAGTTGTTAGGGACCAAACACGCAGATTACCCTAAACCATAGGGACCATCCGTATAATTTACCCTTATTTTATTATGAAAAACATAACGCTATACAAACAAATATATCACATATAAACCTATGGCAACGAATTGATAACGACATCCATAGTTAGTTATAACGACAAGGCTATGGCGACGACAACTAGTTCTATCAATGACATGTTACCACAAGGGATTTTGGCGATGATGTTTGGACCGGTAGCGACGACATTTGTCGTCGCCATATCTTTTTTTTTCTTGTAGTGAAAAGTGCATATTTGGAGTATGAAGTCGGTTTTTTTTTTCAACTAGATTGAGAACAAAACCAGGAAGTTTAGTTCAAGCAAATATATTGGGGGTTGTGGTGTAGTAAATAATATATTAGCTACTTGTTTTCCTATTTATAGTCATACAAGTTTTGTTTTTGTTTCCCTAGCTTCTTGATAACTCGGTTTTAATAAATTTTGTTTTTAAGAAAAGGGAAATCTTCTAAAAATTCATTTTTTGTTGTTTGATGTTGTATAAATGTTTTATGTTTTGTAGGTTCAGGTAGCAGCTGGTGTACGTGAGAAAATAGGAGCACGTGGACTTAGACTAGCTTGTTATTTTAGTTGTATTTTTCCTTGTTGCTTATATAATAGATAGAATTTTATTGTAACCCCGATTCTAACCCCGGGATGTAAAGTGTTTTTAAAAGAGTAGAATTCCTCAATTTGTAAGAAAAAATATGATAATTCCCTTGTAACATCCCAAAAATCATGACCAAAAAATTTATTTTTAATTTTTAAATAAACCATAGTTATCGAAATCATTCCAACCAAAAACATAAGTTATAGTATCAAATCAGAGTATCATATCAAAACATCAGAGTGAACATCCCAGGCTAAACATCGTGGTGTGCGCCTTGCAATCATCCCGAGCTCTTCTTTTGAAAACCAAAGTACCTGAAACCAAAACTGTAAACCGTAAGCACGAAGCTTAGTGAGTTCCCCAAGATACCACATACCATTCACATCATAAAATAATGAGATACGGTCCCCGCCCACACTCGCATATCCGTGAGATACGGGCCCCGCCCAAACGAGATACGGGCCCCGCCCACACTCGCATATCAATGAGATACGGGCCCCACCCACAGTCACATAACAATGAGATACGGGCCCCGCCCACACTCACATATGTAACCAAACACATACAAGTATCACACAGACAACAGGTATTACAACCTACCAAACATACTACTAACCATACTCAAGTACTGATGAGATACGGGCCTCGCCCACACTCTATGAGATACGGGCCTCGCCCACACTCTATGAGATACGGGCCTAACCCACACTCAATGAGATACGGGCCCAGCCCACTCTCAGCTAATGATGATATATGGGCCTCACCCACACTCACATTCCTAACAACACATACATGTATCACACATACAACAAGTATAGCAATCCAACAATCTAACTGATATCTTTACTCAGGTAATAATGTGTCACACCCCAAAACCGGAACGGCGGAAACGTTCTGGGGTGGAGGACATCATGTACAGTATCACAACAAAGCATAATAGTAAACAAGCAACAACCTCCATTGCATTAATAGAATAATTTTAATACAAGCGTGTTCTGTATAGTATGTAAGACACCAAAATGAATAATCAAAATAAAGGATGAGTCTTGTATGTGCTCCATCTTCTCAAAAGCTTCATCGGTGCCTGTCTACTGATGACCTGAGAATACAAGTTATTTTGAAAGAGTTTATCAGCATAACGCTAGTGAGTTCATAAGTATTTAGTGTCATTACTTGTATGAAAATGTTTGTAACAACGTAGTATATATATGTTCGTAGTTGTTTGTGAATGTTTGTAAATAGTTGAACTCTCTAGAAAATCCTATATTTTCTACTAAAATGTAGCCTTCTACCAAGACCCGACTGTTTGTATGTTTGTTCTTTTGTAAAGTAAGAGTTTCCCCCAATGAAACTATCATTATGAAAATATAGTTTACTTAAATGTGTATGTGACAAGATCACAAGGTAAATGTCATAGGAAAATAATGTTTTACCTCAGCAGTGACACTACTGGTCATAAAGTGATGAAATATAGACTCCAGGTAGTACTAAATGTACAATACACCTCGGGGAGTCTAAAGAAAATGAAAATGCAGACTCCAGGTTGTATTAAATGAACAATACGCCTCGAAAAGTCTGTTTTGCCTTTAATTCTTAATTGGTTAATTAAAGGTTTGAATGTGAACTCGTATGTAACCATGCTGATCAACGGCTGAATA